AGACGCATCCCTGCAGGGATCTGTCCTAACAGCAAGGGCTGCAGGGGAGCGGCAGTGTGCGAAAGAGGCCAGTGAAGGGCCAGCAGCTGGTGTAGCCGTTACATTGCAGGACTCCCACACGGCCGACTGCAGTTCAAGTCCTGGAAGTGGTAGCTTGAAAATCACTCTGGACGCATGTGAGTGCGTGTCCAAGATCCCAGGAGGCGAATGGAGGAGAAGGGATTACAGCATGGACATCTCTCCTGGAGGGTGGTTTCTCACTTTGCTTCTCACGGTCTCTGTGTGCGTGTCTCTCTCTGGTGAGCACATGGGCCCTAAGGCAAAAACTCTCAGAAAAAAAAAAAAAAGAAGAAGAAGAAGAAGAAGAAGAAGAAGAAGAAGAAGAAGAAGAAGAAAGAAAGAGGCCAGTGAGGAGGATGGGAGCGGGCTGGGGCTTGGCCATCCTGGCCACTTCCCCCCTTGGTTCCTGAACTTGGTCATCCCAGCCCGACCCCCATCCCCACTCCCGACACTGGCAAACAGGCCAACAACAGGACTCGCCCAGAGATGGTGACTGAACCTCCAGGAAGGCCACCTGGTTAGTAGGTGTGTCACGTGGTTCTCCTTGTCAGGCAGGTTGGAAAACTTCTGCTGAAATTGCAGCTTCAGCCTGTGTTTATTTAAACTGGGAGTCTCAGCTGTTGCATCTGTAAAATGGACCAGCCCTGGGGTGCGGGAGGGTGCAGGCACCGTCCTCATTACACAGCCCTCTCCCCCCGACCTCTATCTGTCCCGGGCCACGCAGGCTGCTTCGAGGAGGCCACGCCAGGAGCTGGGCCAGGACCAGCCTGGTTTCTGCAGTGTCTCGTCCTTTCTCCCATGTCCACTGCCCTGCGTGCTCCAGACTCTGCAAGGGCAGAGAGGCCCTAAGCAGATGGCCAGCCAGCCCCGGGCCAGCCAGTCCCTCCCATTCCCTTCCAACTGGGTGGCCAAGAGCCAGGGTGGTTTCTGGGGGGAAGCCAAAGTCCCGTTAGAGCCCTTAGTTGGGTCTGACGGAGGGAGCGAGGCCTAAGGAGACAGCAGGCAGGCGGTGGTCTGCATAGGGCTGAGGTCTGGGCCCAGCAGAGGTGGGCTTTCAGCACATCGGGTCCCGCACAGCGGTGCAGGGGTTGGGCACCATCACACACAGCTGGGGCTGTGTGCATGGTTCAATTCCTGGCCCAACCCAAACAGGCTGCGTGTGCCATCCCAGCTAACTTCAGGGCTGTGGGAGGTGGACCACGGCTTGGCAAAACTGTCAGAAACGCCCACCTTATCTCTCTTTCTCTTATTAAACAAATGAAAGAAGGACCAGCCGGTGCTGTGGTGGTTAAGACGGCTGGAGCTGGCATGGCTGGCTGTACGGCTGAAGTCCCGGCCTCAGTCACTTGAAAACACATTAGCATATGCGCATAACCAAAACCTGAGAAGAGAATGGAGAAAGGATTGTGGCCTGGCCATCCTCAGAGGGTGTTTCTTCACCTCTCTTGTCTCTCTCTAGTGAGCACACATGCCCTACAGCAAAGATCTTTTTAAAATTATTTATTTACATTTATTTATTTATTTTTAATTTGATCAGAGAGAGATAGAGAGAAAGGGAGAAAGCAAGCCGCCAGGTCCAGAACTCAAACTGCGGTTGCCTTTGTGGGAATCCAGTGCCTTTAACCAACGTGCCGCCTGCCAGCCCCCCTATAGCAAAATTTAAATTAAAAAAAATCAGAGGGACCAGCAGTTAGTGTAATGGCTATGTCTCTGGACTCCCATGTAGTCTACCATGGTTCAAGTCCCGGAACTGGTAGCTTAAACTCACGTCAGGCACCTGTGCGTGCATGCCTAAGATCCCAAGAGGAGAATGGGGGAGAAGGGATTGCAGTGTGGCCATCCCCCCTGGGGGGTGATTTCTTGCTTTCTGTCTCTCTGTCTCTCTCTGTCTGTCTGGGGAGGGCATGCACCCTATAGCAAAAACCTCTCAAAAACAAACAAACAAACAAACAAACAAAAGCAATCAGAAGTCACCAGGCTCCAGGCAGGGTCTCAGGGCTGGGGCTGCTATGCCTCTGGCAGCTTCGAGGGACACAGATGATCACAGCAGAGGCCAGGGAAAGCAGGCCTCGGTGAGTCCCTTCCTCATGGGGCCAGATCCCCAAGTGCTCGGGGGAGGGATGAGCTGGGTGGACCTGCCACATGCCCACCAGACAGCCCGTCCCCTGACCGCCAGCTCTTCATGGACTCACTCCCAGGGCACTGAGCATTGGCAGCCCCAGTGGGTGCCAGTCCCAACTCTTTGAAAGCTTGTGGTCCCCCTTCTCCAGGGCATTCCCCACCTGGAAAGATGCTCCTTCTGACAGACGCCAAGGACAGGCTGTGTGACTAAACAGCAGGACAGTAAGGTGTACAGTCAAGTGCAGGGGTGGCAGTGCCCTGGAGAGAGCCTCGGGGTGGGCAGGGGCGCTCCAGCTCTGGAATCCCAGTTGTGGCTGCACGTCCTTCGCCCTCGGGCTGGGTCCTCTGCCCGTCTTCACAGAGGTGCACCTGCCGTGGGAGGGCCCTGCTGCAGACCCCCCGTCCGCATCTGAGCCCAGCTTCTGAAGCAGAAGGGGGAAATAATCCTGCCCGCCTTGCAGGCTTATTAGAAGGACAGAGGAGGAAGGAGCCCAGAGAGTGCTTTGGAACCTGGAACTGACCAGGCGAGTGAGGGGCTGACCAGCGGAGACCCTGGGACAGGGAGGCCTGGGGTGTCAAGGCTCCCATCTGTAGGGTCTCAGACATCCCTGGGCCTCCTTACTTGTCTCACATGCCACAGCCTGAAGCTAGGTGTTTGCACTTCTGCCATAGGGCACATGCACTCTCTGGAGAGACACAGAGACAGAGAGAGGGGAAAGTGAGAAAGCATCCCCCAAAGGGGATGACCACGCCACAGTCCCTTCTCTTCCAGTCTCCTCTCAGGATTTTGGGCATGTATGCACATGGTAGCAGGTGTGATTTTCAAGCCTCTGGGTCTAGCCCTTGGACCATGGTCTGCCACGTGGGAGTCCAGTGCCTAAACCACCACACCACCTGCTGGATGCCCAGAGCTAGGTTTTATTACCATTTAGATAATTTATACTTACAGCATACACAAAAACATGCATGCACTTAGGTATACAAAACATTGAACACCACGCGAACCTCTGCAAGGAAATTAAAGGGTCCCCTCTCCCTCCCTCCCTCCCTCTCCCTGGAGCAATGCGTTTCCACATTTAGCTGTCTCTGGTTTGGGCCTCTGTGACTCTCAATAAGATGTTTACAGGGCGAGTTCCTGATTTTTCAATTCTAGACATTTCTATTGCCTTCCTGTCAGGACAAATGAGGCTCCAGCTCTCACAGACCCTCCTGCTCCCCCCACTCAGCCTGCCCAGAGGGCTTCATCCACTTCTTAGTTAAAGGGCTGGTCCAGGGTTTTCTATGAGGATTACATAAACGTTACGCCCTGAAGTCAGGAGGTGCCCAGTGACAGTGTCTTGTCCAGCCCTGTGGGTGCCCTGGAGTTAGTGCGTCGTGTCTAACTAGCAAGGTATTTGTGTCTCCTGCTAAGCTCACATCTGTCTAAACCCAGTTTAGGCATGTTCTGATGCCTGGTGTCTGGGTACGTAGGTCCCCTTTCTACTCTCCACCCCTGGGTTCTCCGCTCCCTTGGCAAGGACCCTCCCTCCTGGACAAGCCTCCCCTCCTGGACGCTCTTGGCTCTTAGAGCACAGGCCCCGAAAGCTTCCTGGAAGGAGCACAACAGTGAGGGTGTGTGTGTGTGTGAGTCTGTGTGAGAGTGGGTGTGAGTGTGTGTGTGTGAGTGTGTGTGTGAGAGAGTGTGTATGTGTGTGTGTATGTGTGTGTGTGCTCTATTTCTGAAAATGCTTATAGTCCAGTCTCATCCTTAGTCGATTCTTCCTGTGGGCATAGAAATCAAGCAGAAAATCCTTTTTCTTCTGATAAAAACACAAACAAATAAACCCAGCTTATCTGCTCATTTCTTCAGAAAGAGAGCAAGAGACAGAGACAGAGAAGGGAGGCTCCCTACCTTCGACCCACCTGGTCTCAGCAGCCGGACCTTGGGCACAGGCGTGCACACGTGGTGTCACAGGGCGGTCTCGGACACCAAGCCGCCTTCCCATGTGGTTCGGCAGCTAGCCACGTGGCGTGGGCTGTGCCGCAGTGGCCAGTTCCTTCCATTTTTAAGGAAACTGATGGCTTCGTGGTCTTCTAGTGTCCAGTGTCCCTAGTGAGAGGTCCGAAGTCAGGCTTGCTTTCCTTTTTTCTGTTTTATTAATTTTTTTTAAGAGAGATTTTTGCTATAGGGTGCATGTGCTTGCCGGAGAGACAAAGAGAGACAGGAAATGAGAAATCACCCCCCGGGGGATGCCCATGCCACAATCTCTTCTCCTTCATTCTTCTCTTGGCATTTTTGACATACACGCACACATATCCAGCATGAGTTCAAGTCACCGGGTCCAGGACTTGAACTGTGGTCGACTACATGGGAGCCCAGTGACAGAACCATTATGCCATCTGCTAGTCCTACCTTTTTTCTGTTTTTAAATTTAAAACCATGTGCACAGAATTTCAAAGATAAAATTACATTTATTTATTTATTTTAAATGTATTCATTCATTTATTTTAATCTGACCACACAGAGAGAGAGAGAGAGAGAGAGAGACAGAGACAGAGAGAAAGAGACAGAGAAAATAAGCTGTGAAGTCCGAGACTTGAACCATGATCAGCCATGTGGGAATGTCCAGCGCCTTAACCACCACACCACCTGCTGGTCCCCATTTTTTTTTTAAGAGAGATTTTTGTCTTCGGATGCAGGTACTCACTGGAGAGACAAAGAGACAGAAAGCGAGAACTCACCCTCCGGGGGGATGGCCACGCCACAATCCCTTCTCCCCTTGGGATCTTGGGCCTGCATGCACATGTGCTCAGCGTGTTTTAACCCACCAGGTCTGGGACTTGAACTGCAGTCGGGTACATGGGAGTCCAGCAATGTAACCATTATGCCATCTGCTGATCCACCAAAGATAAAATGATTGAAAAGTCCACTGCTTTGTCTGCCCCCACCGGATTCCTTCTTCCAGAGATATCCACTTCCCATTCTTCTGCATTTACTGCCATATGAGAGAACAATACACTTTGTTCTTTACAGACGCGCGGCTCTCCCACTTCCCCGTTGCCTACCCCCCTTTCTCTTAGGGATGAGGATGTCCGGTCCACTGTCCTCCACCCTCCCAGTGTGGCGCGATGGCAGCTTCTGGCTAAGTCGATAACGCATGCTACAGTACGTAAGCTTTACGGCCCACTGAGCTGTGATGCAGCCCATGCCTGGCTTCCTTCCTTGTGCTGCAGGTCTCTCTAGGGGTCGGGGAACGGTTTCATTTCCAGCCCAACCTCACCTGGACCAGGTCGGGACAAGGCCTGGGATGCGGGAGGAATTGCTGTCACTGCTGTTGTCCAAAACAGGAGGGGTCTAGGAGGGCTGGGCCTGCAGCCAGCTGAAGCCATGTTAACAATTAAGGCTTTTGCGGCTCTTGGCTCTCGTTCCAGGCTCTCTGTGTGAGACCGTCAAACACTGGAGGAGACTGAGCTCTGATCCCTGCAAGGGGCAGGGTGGGCTGGGTGGGGATCTGGGCAGGACCTGTGGCCTGGGTGCAGGGCTGGGCAGGTGTGGCCTGGGGTTGCTGATACAGACTTGTGTCAGCAGACACCCTTTCCACCACCTGGAACTCCAACCTCAGGGAGCGCGCAGTCAGGGGGCAGAAGAAAACTTACCAGGGACGAGGCCTCACCCTTCCAGCACGGTGGTGCAGATGGACTCAGAGATGCACAGCCCAGCTCAAAGACCACATGTCCAGGGCCTGGACTGTATACCCAAAGTAGACCCACAATGATCTCGCAAGCTGCATAAATCATGTTATACTGTATTCACACACGTGAGAAAGCACCAGTGAAATCAGTACCAACATTCCAATATATCACAAGTGGGCAAGCCCCTAAACATTGCCTGGCACACTGGTTAGTGCGTGAATAAGGTCACATTCCCCCAGACCTCCACTGCTGCCCTCCAGGAGACCAGCGTCCAGACAGACGGGTGCTCCTAACCACGGTGCAGTTTCCCCATCTGTAAAGCTGAAGGCCAGCCCGTGGCCTGGTGGTTAAGGTGGCTGGATCCCACAAAGCCATTAGAATGCTGGAGTTGGTGGCCTGAGAAACATGCCAGGCAGGCATGTGTGTGCATGCCCAAAATCCTGAGAGGGAAATGGAGGAGAAGGGATTGAGGCGTGGCTATGCTGGGGGTGATTTCTCTTTCCTTCTCTATCTTTCTCGCAAGAGCACCCCCTGAAAAAAAAGAAACACACACACACACACACACGTATGTATTTTAGGCATGCATGCGTTTTGCTCACTCACCTTGGTGCCACTCACCACGATGCATGTCATTGCACAGTTACCATGCAGTCGGTACACATGCTCCACAAACCCATGAGTGACGGTGATCCTGGTCAAGGCATTTCCTTTTGGGGCTCAATTTTCTCATCTCCAAAATGAGGCCCTTGGGTGCAGTTGTGCACTGAAGGGTTGCTCATTCACTCAGCAGGTAGCAAACAGCCCAAGCACAGGGTCTCAGTTCAGGACCCCAGCCACAGAGGAGAATGAGACGGTCGCCTCCCTTCACAGTAGGGACAGGGGACTCTGTTTGCTTACTCCCAGATACTGCGTTTCAGAAGATTTTTAACTACCCAGGGCAAGCATACTGGCTCCCAGGCCCAGCTGGCTCTCTTAAAAACCTGTGTGTGGGACCAGCAGTTAGTGTAATGGCTATGTCGCTGGACTCCCACGTAGTCGACTGAGGTTCGCGTCCCGAACCCGGTGTCTTAAACTCACGCCAGGCGCATGTGCGTGCATGCCCAAGATCCCGAGAGGAGAATGGAGGAGAAGGGATTGCGGCGTGGCCATCCCCCCGGGGGGGTGATTTCTTGCTTTCTATCTCTCTGTCTCTCTCTGACGAGTACACGCGCCCTATAGCGAAAACCTCTAAAAATAAAATAACCTGTGTGTGACTCTGAATGGACACATATACCCTTGAGAGATTCTGGGGGCAAAAACTAGGGGTGGTGGGTGTTTTTATTTATTTATTTTTTTGAGAGTTTTTTGCTATAGGGTGCGTGCGCTTGCCAGAAAGACAGGCAGAGACAGAAAGTGAGAAATCACCCCCCACGGGGGATGGCCACGCCACAATCCCTTCTCCTCCTTTTTCCTCTTGGGCATGCACGCACAGGCGCCTGGCATGAGTTTAAGCCACCAAGTCCGGGACTTGAACCCTGCTCGACTAAATGGGAGTCCAATGACATAGCCATTATGCTACCTGTTGGTCCCGGTGGGTGCATCTTTACTTTTATTTTTATTTATTTTTATTTTTTAGTGTGTGTGTGTGTGTGTGTGTGTGTATGGGTGCTAGAGGGAGCATGTGCTAGCCAGAGAAAGACAGAGACAGACAGAGGGTGCAGGAGAGAGCATACCCAGGGGCATGGTCACCTACAGTCCCCTCTCCTCCATTTCTCCCTCCTTTTGAGATTCAAGCATGGGCCTCGCATACTTTTTTTAAAATTAAAAAAAAAATTTTTTTTTTGAGGTTTTTGCTATAGGGTACATGCATTCACCAGAAAGTTGACTGCGGTTCGAGTCCCAGATCTGGTGGCTTAAACTCACGCCAGGTGCATGTGTGTGTGTGCTCAAGATCTCGAGAGGAGAATGGAGGAGAAGGGATTGCAGGTTGGCCATCTTCCCTGGGGGCTGACTTTTCACTTTCTGTCTCTTTCTCTGCCTTTTGGTGAGTGTGCATACCCTATAGCAAAAACTTCTCAGAAGAAAAGAAAAAAAAAATCCTTATTTATTTTTTATTTATTTATTTTTTAATTGCTAGTGAAGGGACCAGCAGATGGTATCATGGTTACATCATTGGACTCCCACATAGTCAACAGCGGTTTGAGTCCTAGACTCGGAGGTTTAAAATTCATGCCAGGTGTGGAGGCCAGCAGGTGGCATGGCGGTTAAGGTGCTGAACACTCCCACATGGCTGACCAAGGTTTGAGTACTGGACCTCGTGGCTTGCTTTCTCACTTTCCCTCTCTGTGTGTGTCTCTCTCTGGTCAAATTAAAATAAATGAATGAATAAATAACATTAAAATAAATGACTTTTTTAAAAAATAAAATAAAATTCATATCAGGCTATGTGCGTACGTGCCCAAGATCTCAAGAGGAGAATGGAGGAGAAAGGATTATGGCATGGCTATCCCCCCTGGGGGGTGATTTCTCACCTTCTGTCTCTCTAGCTCTCTCCATCTCTGGAGAGTGTACATGCTCCGTAGCAAAACAAACAAACAAAAAACTCTCTCTAAAAAAAATTGTCAATAGTACATGAACTTGTCTGAGGGAGACAGAAAGAGAAGGGAAAGTTAAAAAGCATCACCTTTCCCCACGTGGCATGATCACATGGGAATTCTTTCTCTTCCATTTCTCCCTCCTTTCAGGATTTTGGGCATCTGGGCATGCACGCACACATGCCCAGCATGTTTTCCAATCCACGGTTCATGACTTGAACCATGGAGCTGGCTATATGGAATTCGGCTGCCTTAACTGCCAGGCCATGGGCTGGTCCATCTTTATTTTACTGCGCTTATTTTAAAAAGCTTGTTGTAGGGTATGTGTGAGTCTACAACAACTTTTTAAAGTATATGCAATAGAAAGAGACAGAGACAAAGAGAGAGAGAAAGTGAGAAATTACTCCCAGGGGATGACCGTACCACAGTCATCCTCCATTCTCTTGAGCCGACAGGTCCAGGACTTGAACTGCACAGTCAGCCATGTGAGATCCAGCCACCTTAACCTCCATGCCATTGGCTGGCCCATGGTCCCATTTTTAGCTTTAAAGAGACTCACAGCTGCTTCTGCTGGACATCTGGGGAAATTGTTCCGTTAGAGCTTCATTGCTGGTCTAGCCGCTTACCTATCTTTGCTCTGCAGGAGGATGTTAGCAAAGCTTTTGAGGGTCTTGGCCAAGGACGCTCTGCCATCTAGATGGAAGCTTCCTTTTTTGCCTCGGAAAGTTCAGCCAAAACTGCCAGCCAGCCCTGGGGGGTCAGGGGACAGACTGAGAGCTCTGATACCGCCTAGGGCAGGAAGCAGGTTCCCACCAAGTGCAGGACTGTCTCTGTGACCCCTCACTCTTCCATCTCCCAGAGTAGTTGGAGACAGACCTGTAGCCTCCCCAGGCCCAAGACGGACCCCCCTTCCTCTCTAAACTCAGACTCCACTGGGGCAGCAGAACACATGCTCCAGCAGCGGGGTGTCCTCTGTCTGGAGTTTAATTCTAGAAGCTGTGCCTCTTGGGCTCACCATCTCCCCACCACACTCTCCTGCCTATCTATCTGGAGAAAGGGGTGGATTGAACTGGGCCCTCTCTGTGCTATGTCCTCCCCCATCCCTTCTTCACACAGGGGCCAGAGCATACTGGGCTAAGTGGCCTCCCTGTGAAACCTCCCACTGCTTTCCTAGCCCCTGACCTCTGACCTCATTGTGCACCCCAGCCCCACTGACGGGCTACCTTTGCACTAGCTGCTTCCCCCCATGCCCTCCCCTTGTCTCTGTCCTTGCTCCAGTCTCAGCTTAGAGGCGCCTCCAGAGACCCTCCGTGACCGCTGGCTCTCGGTGACCTGACCGCAGCAGGTTGACTTAATTCCCAGCGGGCACTTAGGACAGTTATCTAGTTTGTTTATCACCTCCCCTGGCCCCTCCTCCCAGAATGCCAAGTGCCCCCGGAGGGCCGTGCCTCTTTTGTCTAATCCGCGACAGAAACCCCAGGGGCGCTGGCGGTGGCGGGTGGGGGTGGCACAGGCCTGCGGCAGGTGGGCACAGGGTGTGCAGTTGCGGAAGGAGCAGTTGAGCATCGGAGCTCGCTCCAGGCGGTGGTGGTTCACTGTCGCAGACGCGGGGTTTATCTCCTTGTGGGTTTTGGGGGAGGGACGCCTCGCTGGACCCAGCTCGCCGCAGACGCGCAGTAAATGCTCTTTGGGAGCCCGAAGATAACGAGGCAGACTTACAGGCTGTGGAAAGACTGGTGCCCCACGAGGCCGCCGGTCGCAGGAGGGTTCTGCGGCCGGCTGGGCGGCCCCGGCCCCCCGCATTAATGCCCCAGTGGGAGACCTACCCCCCTGCTCCCAGTGGTTTCCACCTGCGAATCTCAGATTCTCCCCCGAGCCCCAGGGCCCTAGTAGCCGAGTAGGCGAGGAACCGAGCTCTGGGCGCCGCTCGGAGCAAGGGGCACGTCCCCAGCGTCCTCGCCCCGTCCGGGCTGGGAAAAAGGGTAGGGATCGTGTTCTGGGACGGCTGGCAAGGGCCTCGCCCTCTAGGGCGCAGAAACCGGAGCTATAGCCCTGGAATGGAAACGCGGCCCCACTGCGCGCTCCGGCACGGTCCAGGGGTGGAGACCGGGGCGAAGAAGCTCAGGGACAGGGAAAGGGACAAAGAGCGGCCCTCCCGCAGGGGACACCGAACCCCATGTCAGAGTCCTATTGTTCGTCGTATCGCAGACTAAACTGGACTCTGGTGCCCCCGGGAGGGCGAAGGGGACCTGTCACCCACGTCGTCGGTATTTGTTTATTTGAGGTGAGGGAGGGAGGGCTGGGGACGCAGGCCCGGGAGGGGCTCGGCTCGCGTTTCCGCGCGTCGCCTTTAAGGGAAGCCCTGCCCTACCTTTCCCACCGTGCCCTCCTCCCCGTAGCCGTACCTGCATTTTAAAAGCGCCCTGTAGCCCTGGGATTGGCCAAGGCCGCGTCCTGCGGGCGCAGAAACTTGAACCGACGGGAGGGGGGTTGGGAGCCCAGTGACTGGATTGTACCATCTCCGCGGCTTCCCCTGCGTGCGCCCCGCCCCTCCCACACACCCCCGGAGAGGCCCAATCGGACAGACGCGAGGGCGGGACCGCGGCTGAACGGGC